GTGGGCGTCGAAGGGGAGGGAAGTGGGCGGACGAAAAGGGGCGTCTGTCCAACGTCCGTGACAGCGGAGGGGCACTCTCAATGTCGACTCAAGCCGCGGCCACTTGAAAGTCCCTCTAGCAATGTCCGTCAAGAATGAACCACCCATAAAGAAAGTGTATCGCCTCACATCCTGCAAGGACAGCAGCGCGCAACGAGTGTATGTAGTTGCAAGGCAGGAGGCGAAGCAGTGTCCCGCTTTCACCGCCGTGACTAGGAACGGACCTGTCACAGCCGACGAGCTGTGCCACCAGATAAACAAAGACAAAGCTTACTGGTGAAGGGGTTGGTGCTGAGAGCGAAGCAACCACAAGTGACACAGCAACAGATGATGCAAAGAAGTAGATTCCCTAGACTAGAAGGGGCAGTGAGAGGTAGGGCTGCTAGCTACCTACAGAGGAGATGGGTGATCGACGAGAAGATCAAGTCTGAGGTTCTCTGCCTCAGACCCCCTACTATTTATACAAATACAACGGTGCACAGACCAGGTACCTATTTGTCCCTGCTTGATCAGAGTCCGCTGACTCATGTCCTGCCTCCTGACCTGTCACATGGTGTCCCCATGACTAACACCTGAGTCATGCTAAGTCCGGGTTTCCTCCGATGAGTAAGCGCCCCCTACAAGGTCCTGGGTTCGATCCTGGCTCCTCCACTTTCTAATACAAGTTGCCCGTGGTCAAGGTGAGTGTCTGTCCTGGTTCACATAACCCCCAGGTCACATGGCACGAGAAAACTGTGACAGGACCTGCGAAGCCGCAAGTAAGTAACAAACCAAATGACTGCACATGGAGGACACACCTGTCTCTGGATACCCGATCAGTTGTCGCCTGCTGTGGAAGAGCTAAAAGAGTTGTAGAGGAAGCTGTGCGTCCAGGCCACAGCGAGGAGTTCCTGAGAAGATTCGTTGACCACGTGTAGGATCCGTTGAGCCCATACTCTGCCTTTCACACGGCCTAGTCCCGAAATGGCCAGTAAGAAGAACAAAAGTCGAGCAAAGGTAGTGTTGCCGCCAAGCTGAGCTAGCTTGTCCAGCTAGCTTGGCTTGCCAGCTAGACGCCCGGCTTGCTGGAACAAGCCAAGCCGGGTCGATGGATCCAAAATCAAGCTCATGACCAGCTAAACTTCAAGCCGTTCCCTAAGCTGGCTGGACCACGGCTGGATGGATGACGCCATCGATTGAAGACCTTCCAAAGCGGGCCAGAATCATGCGATGCGCGATACGGAACACTGGGGATAGGCAGCGCCCGCTAGCTGATGTTCTGCTTATATAACGATAGCGCTCAGAGATAGTCTTCCGCTCTCATCTACCCGACCTCGATGTTCGACTCCGATGAGGCGCTCTCGAGGATCTTGGTGGTATAATGGGACTTCCAAGGGTTTGTTCCCCTCACAGGCAGGATGGACCGTAGTACAGATGTGTAAGAAGTATTATATGCATTGTGAATTGTTTCGCTTGGCCAAGATGAGCATAGTGTTGTGCAGGGCCGGGCCGGGCTCAAAACCCCGGGCTAGGGCCCGGCTTTGGAGGGCTCGGGCTCACTGAACACTCGAGCCAGGCTCTAGTAGCGGGCTCAGGCTGGGCCAGGGTCGGGTCAGGCTCAAGCCCGGGCTTTAGGCCTATCACATTATCAATGAGGAATGTGCATTATAGACGTACCTCTAGCTGTATTGAGGCCTTGGTATACTTAAAGGAAGTGTGAGCAGCACGATGGTGGCCATAATCGGCAAAGAGACGGTAGGAAATCAGTGAGGCGGCGGCGGTTCTGAACTAAGCAGGTCAAGCGCTCATCGGATCGGCCACTTCAACATCTGTACCACGTCCACCGGAAGGCGACACTACCAAGGTTGGTGAGTTGTCTCTTACTTCTCCTAGCTTGACTTATCATTTATGATATCAGAGACATGTTCAAGGTCATATACAGCCGGATATAGAGGCCACCCAAAAGCCCGGGGCTTGAGGGCTGGGCTCGGGCTTGCAAAACTCCAAGCCGAGCCCTCAAGCCCTGAAAGCCCGGCGCCGGGCTGGGCTGGGCCGGGCTTTTTAGGGCCGGGTACCCGGGGCTTCAGGGCTTAGAGCCCGGCCTTGCACAACACTGGATGAGCATGGCTCACTCCAGTGTAGGACATGAAGGCACAGCGACCACTACCGCTCTGGTCGGTGGCTGAGAGGCGCTTAATCCTCTCCCCCTTCCCAGTGGGCATGGCGCTTACATTCTTTTGCGCTCTGAGCGTGTTTTGAGCCTGGGATGCTCACTCAAAAGTTGTAGGGAATGACATGTAGAACATATTCTCTCGTGTAGATTTTCAATTCTTACAATATCTCGAGAACTAGGCTCCAACTTGAAAATCGCCACGAGAGAACTTGTGCATTCAATGTCTAAGAT